ACACTATCGTACACGTGTGAAACACTTAACGTGCGGTCTCGAGTGCGAAGGACGAAAAGTCCTGTTACACATTTTGTGATCACGTTGACACAGTAGTCTTAAATTGAACTCTGCAATGGAAGTTATGAGTTCAAATTCCGAACCAAAACAATTGTACAAGTATAATATATGCATTTTCTCAACATCAGGTGTCCACAGTATTAGTGGGCAATGTTTGTGATGTATATTCATCAGTTACTCGGTATTTTTATTTTTTTTTCTCAAATTTCTTACGTATTGTAATTTTCTTACAAGTTCAATACTAATACTAAGTACCAAATCTTTAGAATAACGAGTAGACCAATAACTTTAAATCGATACACTAATACAATCAAGGTATAAAGCACGTCAGTCAGTATCACTTTGTCGTTTTGAAAGTTCCATCGTTAACACTTCAATAGTTCACGTTTAGAACTAAGAGTTTAGACTCCAAAGTTTCAGCTAGTATTGCCACCGATTGCTCTCTATTGTGGATAATTTGAGTTGCGACAACTTAAAACTGTAGTGCGAATTTGTGAGCATACGAACTTAAGCGTTTAGGTCTAATCCTAACTTTACTACAATAGAAGCGTAAGTTCCTTTTGATACATTATGTTTAGTTAACTTAAAAGTTGTACAAGTATGGAAACTTGGTATATTTTAGAGGTAAATGTATGAGGTTTATATGTTTTCTATAAAATATGACTGGATTTAATTTCAAAATAACTAACAATATTTATTTATTTAAACTGGTGAAGTCTTAGAATTATGCAAATATTTAACTTTTTGATTTTTAATACTTTCTTAGATTTACGCGAATATTTGACATTTTAAATAAAACTATCTTTTCGGATTATTTCGCGGATTTATTTTGATTTTTGGTTCCCGACGTTTTGAATGCATTACAGCAATCATGGTCACGGGAGAGACTGAGGTTATAGACGTCTCAAACACATATACTTGTTACAGACAGTGCCTACTGCCTACCCACTATTTTACAAAAATGATTTCAAAAACTCAAAATGGCAATAAAGTACCTTATAATATTTGTTGATTTTTATTCCTAAACATTTGAATTTTTTTTAATATATATTATTATTAAATATAGCAATATTATTATTTCATTTTTGCTGTAATTATTATAAATATTACAATTTTTAAAAAACTTTATTAATTACTAACATTATTTAGTGTTACTATTATTAATAATACTTTACAGATAACATAGTCACGGGAAAGTCTTGTATATATTATCAGAAACACTCAACAGTATTGATATTGGCGTAAAGCTTAGAACTATAGGCCAAACTTTCTCTTTCTCACTATAGCTTAATTTCTCATATTGAAATGTTCAAAAACGAAAAGTATTTTTTTTTATATTTTAGCACTTATAAAAAAAAAACCACAAACAATAATATCTAAATGATGTAACAGAAAATCCACATGCCCTATTTCATTTAATTAATATTAAACTCTACCAAACTAAAATTCCACTCGAGTCGCTTATAAAGAGGGCCTCATTCGTGATCGCGTAACAATAAGACAGTGAAAAAGTTTGCCTTTAATCTCTTTCATCACAAACTATGTTGGATTACAATCTGCTCCTACAATTATGTTTTGTAGGCATTTGTCGTGACTTTACTCGAAAAATAATTTTTTTATTAATCATGATTTTACTTACATATTAAACGCTTTATTTATATACTAGCAAAATCCGAGGCTTCGTTCGTGCTAAAACTAATAAAAAGTCTAAAAAGGTAGGTTTCATACAAACTTTCGTCCCCTATTTTACCCCGTTTTGGGATGAATTTTGAAAAATGTGTATAGGTATACGTATATATTTAATTGTATTGAAGAACATTAATACCAAATTTAAAGTAGGTAATTCTGATCAAAAATAATTTTGTGAATTGTATTATAACGTGTTTTCCCGTGGGAATGAGATAATCTCCCGCGGTAAAAACTAGCCTCTATCACTCCAGTCCTCCAACTATCTCCACGCAAAATCACGCCAGTACGTCACTTTGTTTCGACGTGAAAGGAAGAAAAACAAACAAACAAACAAACAAACAAACAAACACACTTTCACATTTATAATGTTAATATGGATTTGTATGGATAGTATAGATTATAGTGGAAAGATGTTTATAAAAATATTGACATTGCTTCTTACAAAACCCTTTATACATTTTAGCAAAAGCCAGTTCTTTTTGTTTCTTCAGCCATGTAAAGTCCTATGAGTATAGTAATAATCTATATTTCCATACACTATATACTTGTATTATACAGAAACAAGTATTTGTGATAGCTTAATTTTATCATGTAAAAATCATATTTAGCCATTTTTTTTGCATTATACAGTTGACAACTTGAAGTAGTACAACATTATGTCCTGTTATAGAATGTAATCTACATATTCTTTATCTACATTTGAAGTTTCACTCAAATCTATGTATTTAGCTATTTTGAGTCTATATTAAAAAAGTAACAAACATACTTTATTTCTTGCAAACTTACAGATTAATTATCATAGACATAGGGTGAGGAGAAAATGCGGCTCATGTGTTGGTTTGTCATTCTTCACACAGGAATGTTTTGACGTTATTTTTTTATAAATATTGCTTACATGCCGATGATTTTACTAATTTACTAACCCAGTACAATAACTAGGTCCTTGTACGGTATTAACTCCTTGCAAAAAGTTGTAGTTGTAATAACAGTCCAACTAGCCTGAAATAATTACAAACAAAATTTTTTTGTACAATTTTGGTGTACAATAAATAGCAAGTAGAAACGTATTCTAGTCAGAAATCGGCAAGCATGTTTTGTATTCTACTGTGTATCTTGGCTTATAATATTCTTCATTTTTAGACTTAAAATCGAAAAGATACTTAATAAATGGGGTTAGATTATTTGTTTCTATGAAAAGCTTATATTTCAAAGGTAAATTTTATAATATATATACAATTTTAAGAAGAAAATTATCTATGTATTGAAACTTCTTTAATTGTATAATTAATTTTTTTTATGTTAATGTACTATTTTCTTGTGCAATAAAGTGTTATAAAAAAAAAACTTCTTTGCGCGCTCATGCGCGTATTTAATAGTAAGTAATTTTACTCTCATGAGTAAAATTTCAAGGACGCGTCACGAAAAACCTTCACGGTTGCCGTAGTAACCGCTTGCATTAAGTTGCCGTAGTAACCGTTGTTTTGGTCTGAAAAAGATTTATATAATACTAGCAGAACCCGCGACTTCGCTCGCGCTAAAACTATAAAAAAGTTCTAAAAAGGTAGATTTCATACACACTTTCATCCCCTATTTTATCCCCGATGAAATTCAAAAAATGCTAAAACACATATTTTTTTAATTGTATTGAAGGGCATTAATACCAAGTTTCAAGTAATTCTGGTCATAAATATTTTTTGGGTTGCATTCCCATGGGAAGAAGATCATTTTCCGCGGTAAAAAGTCACTCTCTAGCCCTCCAACTATCTCCACACAAAAAAACACGCCAATCCGTTCCGTTTTGACGTAAAAGCAGGACAAACAAACAAACACACTTTCATATTAATTATAATATTAGTATGGTGTATTTCCTTCCGTTGTTGTTACCTTCGAAGATTACTATTTTTATCAATATGTTTTCAAATATGCCTGCATATTTATAACTAGCGGCTCACCCTCACTTCGATCGGATTCGTATCTTAGAGTATATGCGATAGATGTAAGAATCTAGCTACATAGAAATAGATAAGATATTATTCTCTCCTCTTTGTGTGATATTCGTTTGAATCATATTTATTGAATGACATTCGAGTGTAATATTAATTTTTTTTATTAATTTATTAATCTTACAGATTTAAAATATAAATAACCAATGAAGTTTCACTTCTAACACGTTACCATAGAAATTTAGTTTTTTTACGTGATTTTGAAGTCTGTATACATTTTTGCTTAAAAAGTAAATAATTAAAATACAAACATACAGATTTTACAACTTTATTACGATATTACGCTATACCAATAACGTAACGTAATTGCTTAAGAGCTTTTAAGCGTTTCCTTCCAATTCGGGCGTCAGCCGATGTGTGAAATTGTTGTTCTCATGTAATTTTACCAAATAGTTCACGAGCTCATACAACGATGTACACGCTTGGATAATTAAGATAATTATTATTTACCAAATATATTAAAGATATCTACTAAAGTACACACTTGTAAGAGATCTACATACATCAGACCAAACTATAGTAATTAGTAATTAACACTTCATTTTCGATATTTAGTCAAGATTATAATATTTATAACTAGCGAGGTTGTCTCCCTAAACAAACTTCCATCCCCATTTTCACCCCCTTAAGAGTTGATTTACGGGAGAAAAATTATCGTATATCCTTCCAAGGGCCTCAAACTATCTTCTTACCAAATTTCAAATTAATAATTTTCTAAATAAGTTCAATAGTTTTGGAGCTTATACGGTACAAACAAACAAACAAATCTTTCCTCTTTATTTTATTATTTATAGTATTAGTACTAGTAGGATTTAGAAATACTTAACAATGACGTTTATATAATTACTTTATTATCTATGGATATTTTTGATCTATATTTTTAAAAAATTTTTAGCGCTTAATAAATTAATGACATATCGATAGTCTTTCTTTCAGATTGAGACATTTTTTTCCTAATAGCTGGCAGAGTTTTTGGGAAACTTAAGTATATATATATACATATATATATATATATATTACTATGAAAGCAAAAGAAAAAAATATGTTTGTTTGTTAATCTTTGATTTTCGCAGTAATCGATTAGAATAGTTATAAGAGCCGTAACTAGGCTAGCCCTTCTCCTATCTATACATACATACATTTCTATATAGCAAAAAAATACTACAAAAGCTGTATCACTATATTAGTAAGAAAAAAATATACGTCTTTGTTTCAGTATCCTCATCATATAGCCAGCTTATCTTCCTGATGGAGCCTCCCCCACGGCTCTCCTTCTCCAACAGTACGGGAGCGAGCGTGTCCTGCGCGGCACACGGCGGCCCCGCACCGACCATCACGTGGCTCACTGAAGATGGTGTACCAGTTTCTGATGTTCCTGGCCTTCGGTGAGTTCATTTCTTAAAAATATATCATTATTAGTTGGATCAATATTCCGACTGCCCTGAGACAAGCCGAGGATAGAGTGGTGTGGAGAAAGATAGTCAACAAATTGGTGCAAACATTCCAGGACAAGCACGACGAAGAAGAAGAAGAAGTTGGATGTTTGCTGTTTGCTATTTTTTTCAATGTCCTTGTGAAACGCCATCTATCGTTAAATTGTTAAAAAATCAACTAAGTAGATTTAATTATAAACCCATTGTTGCCGTAGGTGAGGGGATCAATTTTCAACCATTATATCGTCAAATTATAATATTTAATTTGTACATCACTGCGTGAATACTTGTAAACTTGTACCGTTGTATTAATAATAATAAATTGTTATTTATTGTGATATAGTAAAAAGTTTTACTTCACCTAAAGAAATTAACTGTTTCTATAAAATGTGCTCAATAAATATAATATGAGCTAATCTATTGCTCTTTGCAATAGTTACAGAGCTTAGTGGCTACTGTCTACGTATAGAATATTATTAAGTTTTCAAGTTAGATGTAGAAACTTCTGTAAATATCTTCCATCTAAAGATTCCGCGAACTAAACGTTAAGCACTCAGTCCTTGTTATCTCAAACATCTTAGAGTAATCCTTCACACGTTACGTGATTAATCTTGTCTAATGTGCTACTAATACCACTAATCGCATTCTAAAAGTTGGTAAGCGTTTAGTAGCTCTTGACAATTTAGAAACACTTATATATATACTAGAGGAACCCACGGCTTTGCTCGCGCTAAAACTACAATAAAATCTCTAAAAAGGTAGATTTCGTACAAACTTTCATCCCCTATTTTACCCTTATTGCTAAAAAACGTATTTATTCCATTTTATTGGAGAGCATTAATACCAAGTTTCAAGTTATTCTAATATAATGTGTTTTTTTTCGTGGGAATTAGATAATCTCCCGCGGTAAAAAGTAGCCTATATCACTCTACAGCCCTCCAACTATCTCCACACAAAAAATCACGTACGTCACTCTGTTTCGACGTAAAAGAAGGACAAATATAATAATATAATAATAAATCTTTAATTCAGGCAAAAACCCATAATTACACAAAAAAAGAAGTTAAAACGAAAACACATACAATTTATCTATTCTAAGAGTTAGTAATACAAACAAACAAAGACACTTTCACATTTACAATATTAGTATGGATGAATGTAGATAATGATAACTACACTATAGTGGCAATATGTTACAATAATGTAAGGTGGAATCATTACATTACTGGCTTAATAATTTATAATTGGTCTAGTGGCTAGCATGTATGACCGCAGATCTGGAGGTCGCGCGTACGAGTCTCGGGTCGGGCCAAGTTTAATTATTGAGTTTTTCTATCAATTTGGCGGTAGTACACTTCCATGTCTCGGAAAGCACGCATATCACATCAAACTATCCTCATATCGGATTTTGAGAGAGTTAGAGCAAGAGTTCACTTGTTAGCGCACTTACTTGCGATCTATAATATCTCCTGCGCAGATAGCTAGTATCATTAAGATTGGCTTTCGTGACTGAAATCGGTCAGGAAGACATTTTTTCCTAAAATTCATAAATATTCAGCATGTTTTTATTTATATAATATTGTTTTCTAAGCTTCAATTTAAAAAGATGTCTCAGTTTGAAAAGAACTGGTTAAAGGAACTTTTAAATATAAAATATGGGTCTTAACTACATGGTGATTAGAGATACATTATTTAAGTATATGTTCACAAATGAATAACTTGTTGCTTGATAGCTGGTATCAATATACTGTAAAACTAGCATAACCAGAACTTAAACCTAGTACCATCTCACTGATAGTTCACCACATATTAACTTACTTCGTGCACTTACATAGTAATCCTCGACTCAATTCGATTTAGACACAACCATCCGTCAGAATGTCACCGCGTGAGACGAATAATACTGCTTGTATCGAAGCAGTAATAATGTTCCCTCTGTAGGTACGTGTAAAAGAATGTAGGTAATAAAAAAGACACAAAAATTAAAATAACAAGTTACGTAAAAAACAAAAACACTAAAAAGTAAAAAATAACTGATTGGTAGTTTTCATTTACTATACATACCTAATCAAATATTTTCGAAGTCGGTGTGCTTTGGCTAAGTAATTAAAGCTTACCTATTAAATACATACTTAATCAAATATTTTCGTAATCGGTGCCAGCCCATACAAAGCAAAGCACGCCGACTTCGAAAATATTTGATTAGGTATGTATAGTAAATGAAAACTACCAATCAGTTATTTTTTACTTTTTAGTGCTTTTGTTTGAAGTCGGTTTTTATTTTTTTGTTAAAAAGTTTTTATTTTTCCCTTTTTAGTGTAGACAGTAAACAGCAAAGTAAGAATTCTAAAGTGTTATGCTTGTCAAACCAAACAAAATAAGCCCAAACTCAAAATATCTACTATTAGTCGTTGAAGAGTTCCACCTATTCACCTTCTGGCCTTACCATCAGATCAGGTGAACAATACCGAACCACTGTACTATCAACGGAAATAGAAACACTTGCAAAGTTTCAAGTCAATATGACAATTAGAAGTAGGTTAAATTCATAATTAGCTATTTTTCCACCCTTAGGGGTGGTATTTTTTTTTAAATTTATATGGGACCAATCTGGAAGTATACACTTTCAAACAACATAAAAATTGTCCAAATCGGTTAATAAATGACGGAGTTCTGAGGTAACAAATATAAAAAAAAAATATACAGTCGAATTGAGAACCTCCTCCTTTTTGAAGTCGGTTGAAAAGGCAATCTTATGATTAACTTTCATCAAATAATACTAAAAATTAAGAAACATTAAATTCGCTAGTTACATTTTATTACGTACTTTAGAAATTAAACGTCATTATATCTTCGAAAAGTGGATTCTATAACGGTTAAAGGCTGAAGCATATTATAATATTATTAGTATTATAAAACTCAATTAATAATATAAAACCAAATATATGGTCCTTCTACAGATCTTTGTTCCCAAGATATACCCTAATCCAGTCGTCACAGCTAAGATTAATGCGTGTCACGGCCGAGTGGGTTTTGTTTACTTTTACCCTCCGAATGAATGATGCGTTCCTCCCCTTATGATTATTGTTTGTTACTTTTTGCAGACTGTAATTTGCCATTTACGTTTTTAGGGCACATATCAACAGTTAAGCAGTGAACGTCTATTGGGTTTAGTATTTTCTTATTTACTAGCAACCATTCCCAAATTTGAATTTCAAAATTTCTAGTATGGTCTATGTCTTTACTGTAATTCGCACTTGATTTATATAGAAACTAGCTACTCACTCTTGCTGCGCTCGAATTCGTCCCTAGTTACGTGTCCAAACTTAGTATAGATTTTTCAGAGATGAGATATTTGCTTGCCGTAAAAATATCCTATATATTGACCCGAATAACAGCTATCATCATGCTAAATTTCATCATAATCTTTCCAGTGAACCAGAAAGGCAGACTCACATACAAGAATTCTAAAAACTATAGATTCGGCCTCTGTAAGATTTGTCAAAATAGTACAGATTTGACTCAGAAGCTTATTATATGTATAGATTTCTATAATTAGGATAATGCTAACATAACAATATCAATGCTGTCTAACATATGTATGTAAGCCTCCAAATTGAAGGAAGGCTTTTGCCCAGCAGTGAGATACTAGGAAGTGCTAAGCACACTTTAACAGTTCTTCTAACGATCATAGTCACAGTAATTTTGTTGGTTTAATACTCCTCTGCTAGTATAAAAAGGAGTTTACACCAAAATTGACCCACATAATTGCGTACCATACATAAACAAATCCAAATGACATCAAAGAAGCAAATTTTCCAGCTCGTTAATCTGCCCTAGCGGATTAGCGCCCTTTGATTTACATGCTAATGGTGTTTTGTTGGACGATGTAGATGAACTTTTAAATAAATGGTTAATTACTATGCAATCTATAAAAACCATTTAGTAAATATATTACAATAAAAACAAATACGGTCAGGACCAAAAATATAAAAATAATCCGCGGCAAAATCCAAAAAGATAGTTTTATTTAAAATACCAATTGAAGAAATTATATTTTGTTTTCCAAATTATAAGAAACCTTTGAATTGCAACTTATCAATAAACTCAATAAAAGAAAATTAATTTATAATATGCAAAAATGTTAGCACTTGTATTAGGTAAAGTTTCTGAACATTAGGAACTAATGTAGTGCGAGTCATAAGAACGCCTAAGATAATCAATAAAGATGTAGACAAACAAAAGGATAAATATTTATCTATTAATAATTTACCTAGAAGTGTCAGTCACAACAACAACACTTTACAAATTAATGCCTACTTATAATATTAATTTAATTACATCCAAAATATCTTGAACGGTTGAACCCAAGTCACTTCGGGAACAAGGGCCGGTAAATTCTTCGCCTCATTAATCTGGTCCTTCGCGCCGGATTAACGCTCTTTGATTTAGATGCTAATGGCTTTCTGACATCAACCATCGCGATTTTAGTTAGATCGTTAAAATATTTGTTATGTGAAATATTCTGTGTTTAAAGTTACGTAAAATACGAATATCTAATCCACAAATATAACACGAATAAAATTGAACTCTTGAGTCTCACACCATCGTAGGTACCATTAAAATTTAGCATACATGTAACAACAAGTGACAGAAATAGGCCTCAAAATTATAATACTCATTATGCTACGACGTCGGGATTAAAACGTATTACTAGTCTGTTAATACATACAAAATACAAATGTGTTTATATAGTTCTTAAGCGTGTTGGCGTCACCGCTACCTCGTGCAACGTCCGATCCAATAATTGCGTACACGCTTCGATGCACACCAATTTCCACCATACTGGCTGTGTAACCCTGCTTTATTCACTACAATATTATTTATCTATACACAATAATATTATAACAGGTACAAAGTTTTCAATATGTGATGAAAAAGATATGTCTTTCCAGAATTTGAGAACACCCGCATTAGTTTAAATATTTTCTTCTAATAGGTACACTGAACTAACAGTAAATATAAATTTCATTTTATTTCATGAAGACCCAAAGATGAAGCTATGGAATATAAATATATTATACATAGATATATACTCAACAAATTTTCTGCAACTATTAAGCTACATTTTATGGCATTACTAAAAAAATAGAGCAAATTTCATTATTTATATATTCAACAACTCTTGAACACAATGTAAATAAATTTTCTAGTGCTTTTCTATCATGGCACTGCGAGCCGGCGAGCGAGTAGTCGAGTGCCTAATTAAGGATCAATATCGACAACATTAATTATATATCGAGTACGTATCAAGCGGGCATTGCTTCTGACTAGCATTTGCATGGAACACCTAGTAAAAGTCAATGAAAGCTGATAATTTCACTACTAGCCATCCAAGGCAAATCAAAATATACTTCATAGAAATAGTCTTTTACAATCACTTTCATCTTTACATATTTAAATTAAAGTACCTGAGCGACAGAGCTTCACTTGGCGTTTTTTAAAATCGTTTTTTTTTTTCGGAAAAGATGTAAAAAATGCATTTGTTGCCAGAAAAAAAAACAAATAATATATATAAACTTAAAATGCAAAACCTAAATTTATATACATTTTATATACGAGTATACGAGTGGCTAATTTTATATTACAAGTATATACATAAGTTCGTAAGGAAGCTACTACTAGCTTGTCCTTCCCAGGGTCTCAAACTATCTTCTTCCCAAATTTCATCTAAATCAGTTCAGTAGTTTTGGAGCCTATTAAGTACAAACAAACATACAAAAAATCAAATCTTTATAATATTAGTACAGATCAACGAACTGTTTTCGATATTAGTATCTAGATGTTATTAATTAATTTAAAAGCACAAATTCAGCTGTTCTTACATAATCTTTGTTTTCATGGTTCATCTCATGTTACGTTAGAAAAAACTCTTATATAATATGGAAATCAGAACAAAAATCACATTAGTATGCGAATAATTTGCAGCGCGGCTGACAAACCGTTTTATTGGATCGTAAAATCAAGTCGTAAATGTAATCAACAATCAGTAGTAAGGATACATCTACATAGGCAGAGAGAAGAGAGTTCAGTACCATTTTCTCTTCTGCTTATAAAACAGTTTTTGATATAAGTAATACTATATATATTTGTATGTTTACCTCAAATTTTCAATAATGGTTATGGTAGAAATTTGATCATTGGGCGAACACTAATTAATGTAAATCGATCGACTTCATAAAAAGAGGACGTAATAATTACACTACGGGACTTAACGCGTAAATTCGTAAGAGACTATATACCTTGTTCCCCATGATTTGACTGGGTTGCACCAGCCGTGGTCACGGGCAGACTGGCGGTGTACGGTATCCCCTTTTTTTTTTTTTTTTTTAACGTTGGGAAATGCATTTACGCACGAAGTGTGGGACTCACCGGCGAAGCCAGTACTACCCACTAAAACCCAACAAAACCTTCCCCCGTCTTAATGGGACGTCGCAGGATCGCTTACGCATTCAACTACGACGCCCCGACGGCAGGTCTGCCGAAGCAGACCACAACAACCATGGGGTTGCTCCACGGTCCACTCTGCTATCAGAGAAGTACCAGGAGCAACCCGCATGGTACACCGCCCTCCGAAGAAGGCCGCCTCCCACCGCCCACCAAAACGGGCCACCTCCCTGTGCGTTTCTTGGCTTCGCGAGTACACTACTGAGCCCCCCCACCACGACAAGGTGAACGCACGTTGGGGGGGATGTACGGTATCCCCTGCTACGATCATTTAATTATTACATAATTATGAAACACGACGATTTAAAAAGAGGACGTACCTACTCCGGAATTGAGTCAGATTTTTATTTTTATATATTAATAACGGCTCACCTTAGCCATGTAGCGCCCGGCTTAGAATAGCGCTACTCTATCTCCTCCAGTAGGTGTCGTAGAAGACGACTAAAGGATTTAGGAACATTGTTTTAGTCCCTTGCTTGATGGCGGGCGAGCAACAGCATTCCCAAAGACGATTGACGTCACGCAGGCAGCCGGTCGGATTTTTTTTGCCAAAACCAATAAGCAGTATGGACGTACTGCGCCAACCCCAAGTTATTTGGGAAATGGGCAGGGAGAAGAAGACTAACGATTCACCCTCACTTCGCTCAGGTTCGCCTTTAGAAATCCAAAAACAAATTTATCCCACGGGAACCGTAGATTTTTCCGGGATAAAAAGTAGCCTATGAGCTATTCTAGACTATAATTTATGTCTGTGCCAAATTTCCGTTAAAACATCTAAACTTTTACGTTTATAATATTAGTAAGAAATAAGACTAGTAACTTATCTTCGCTTTGCTCTCGTGTATCCTTAGGGATGAATGGTTTAGGAACGAATAGAGGACAAACATACAAAGAAACATTATTTTTTTATATTTATATATTTATATTTATCTCTATTGATATTATTACATAATATTTACCAATAACTTTGTGAGCCAATTTTCATAATTAAAAAAAACCGCTCCTAAGCTTGCGCTAATTAATTACTTTTAGGATAATTGCGATATCGGCGTTTGATGTCCTGTTCAGAGAAAAACCAATCATTTTGATTCAAAACATAGCTTAGTAATTTACCAATTGCTATTTCATCCGTATTTTCAATTTCATTTGTTAGCAATATCATAATCTCTTGGTAATTGTCAGTCTGTGACCATTCAATATATTACATACCTAATATAAATTACTAGGTATCTCGTGTTGTGTTATTTTTGTTTAGGTGTAGCTATTTTTCTTCTAACTTAGATTATAATCTATATATTAAAGAACTAAATCATATAAAAATATTATAAACTAGCATTGCCCGCGGCTCCGCCTGCGTTCAGATGACCAAAAACCAAATTCTTAGGGTTTACAGTTAGTATAACTCTTACATCGTAGTTTTTGCTTTTTGTCTCAGAAATGAGATATTATTTTCCGCGGTAAAAAGTATCCTATATGTTGACCCAGATAATCATCTATCATCATACCAAATTTCATCAAAATCTGTTTGGTGGTTTTTTCGTGATGCGTTCCTAGACAGACGGATAGACAAA